GTGTGTGTGTGTGTGTGTGTGTGTGTGTGTGTGTGTGTGTGTGTGTGTAGAATGGAGGAGGTCGAGAGGAACTGTGAAATGCTGAATTCTGAACACGTGTGGCCATTGTGCTCATAAATGCACTCAGCTGTTGGTCACCTGCACACGATCAAGCCGACAAGATCAGTCAATATTCTAGCAGGCAGCGCCAGCTAGACTCCTGGAATTATTAAAACTAGGAGAAGACACCAAGGGAGATGTGCCGAGGGATCCTGGGGAGCGTGGGAGGGGATAGCTGGGTTGCATATGAGCAAGATACGTCGCTTACATGTATAACGTGTTCTTTTGGGGGAGTGGGAGGGTTGTTGTGCAGCCCTGGTTGTCCTGAAACTTGTTCTGTAGACCAGGCTGGCCTTGAATCCACAGAGATCCACCTGCTTCTGCCTCTTGAGTGCTGGGATTAAAGATGTGCACCACCACCACCTGGCTGAAATTTTCAAAGAATAGATAACAGAGACTTTTTTACTACAATCTTCTTAAATATGGACAACATACCATGTCAATAGGCAGGGTGCTGAGAAGAGAAACTTTGAGGATATGTCTGAATTTAATAGGTGAGGAGGCATGATTGATCAGTCATGTCTGCCACAGGCACCAGGATAGAAATAGTGGCATGTCTGTTAAGTATTCATGGTCTCGTAACTCAGTACAAATGCTGGAACTCCTCATGTGGTGGTGAGCCCCAACTAGAAAACTATTTCATTGCTGCTTCATAACTGTAACTTTTCTAGTGTTATGAATAATAATGTTAATATCTGATATTCAGGTAATCTGGTATATGATCACTATGAAAGGATTGTTCATCCTCCAAACCCCGGTTGAGAACCACTGTTGTAACAACATGGTCTCCAACATGTAGCTTTGACAAGGCGTGCTAGTATGCCAAGATATTCCATTGGAAAATAAATATAACATATAAAAATCTGGTACAGAAGTGAGGCCTGTACTTTTACAAATCCTCACATATCTGCTTGTACGTAAGAGTCAGGATAGGGGTCCTGAGTCTCCGCCCATGGTAGATACGCACAAGAAGCAGCTAGCTACCTGGAAAAAAGAAACCAAACCCACAACTCCTTCTGTTTTTCCCACAAGTTGGGCTCAGAACAAAGATTCTAACATATTTCTTGCAAAGTTTGACAGCTGTTTATTGAATACTCATCACACCCATCAAAGATTGCTTTCTGCCTTCCAACAAAAGAAATTACAGCACTTCATCATGTGTAAGAGGCAGCATAAACTAGAGAGAGAATTGGGAGTGGAGTAGGTGGTGAGGGGGAGGAAGTGGAAAAAAGGAAGAAAGAGGGGACCCGGGCACGTGGGAGTCCTAAGCTTGGAGAAATGGTGAACTGGGCAAAAGCACAGAGGCAGAGAGAAGAGAGGGAATTAATTCATAGCAAAGGAGATGAACTTATCTGAGGGCTGATTGCGTGGGATCATAAAAATATGAAAAACACAGGTTGTAGGGTTTGACTTTGGTCTCGACCAACAGTGCTCCTTGTGTCTCCTCTTTCATAGAACTTGGTATCAAGGAAGTAGGGTCATTGCTGGGGCTTTTATGCTCTGGACAGGTTTTGTGGGAGGAATGTAAAAGCTTTGGGTGTCCTGGGCTGGAAATGCCACTGAATCTTGAAAACAGCCAATAGGCTGCTTTGTGGTAGCGTAGACAGTTGAGGCCTAGCTCATAAGGTTGTGGTGAGGAACAGAGACTATCAGGAACAGAAGCTACTTGTAGCCATTTTGACTAAGAATCTGTGTATATCGATCATGCCACTGAGATCATCAAAGGGGTTTGCACCACTGACAGGATATCTCCTTCTTCATTGGGACAGGCTGAAGGGGAGGGGCTGCTCAAGTCCTTTCCGTTTTTTGGTATTTTTTTGGGTTCTTCGGTTTTGAGTAAGAATATCTATTCTGTGACGTCGCTTGCTGTTGCGCTTTCTGCTTTGACTTCCTCACAATGATAAGCCGAGCATGAGAAATATGAATGTGATATCTAAGTAGCCGTGGTCTCAGGGATCATTGCATCTTTTAGAGTGTTCCAGAAAGAAGTCTCCCACAGATTGCGCAGAGAGATGAGGAAGGCGCCTCTCTTCAGCAGAGCTGAGATCATCCAGGCTTAGCCTTGAAGGTGCTGGGGAAGAGAAGAGAGACAGGTGCAAAAGCCATTTCAAAGTGAGCTTGAGGGATATGAAGAGTGTATGAGCCACGGAAAAACTCCCCAGTCAAAGGAAGGAGACAGGAAAGTCTGGGAAGAGAGACCAGAAAGAAAAGATCCATCTTAATGTGTGAGTTTTCATGATGACAGACATGGCCATAAAAACATGAACTGTATACTTGGAATCCAACATGGCTGATCTATCTTCCAGCCTAGTGCCAAAAATCCCACAGTGGTGATTAGCCGGAGGTTATTGAAAGTTTATAGAAATTGTTTAGAAAGCTCCTTCCTCTGAAGTAGTAATGACTTTTTATTTATTTTTGTATGTCTAGCCATAGGAGGAAGAGGAAGGCTCAGTGAGGCAAAGGAGCAGAAAGTTAGCTAAAGGAAGGCCGTCCAAGGCTGTGTTAACCGAAGCAGGGAATCCAGCCAAAGGAAGGTGATGTCAGTGTGCTATATTGTCTGGGTTGCTTTAAAAATGACACAGAGAGAGGCTTGTGATGAATGAAGAATCCAGAAGCCATCTCTGAGGAGTGCTGGTGGCTGTCTCTGAATATCGGTGTGGGCGGAGAAACATCTGCAGGAGGACCATCACTGCCCGTTCTTTTACTGCAGATAGAGCTTCTTCCGGAGGGTGCTTTGGATTTCAGGGTTCACTTTCCTCGGCGTTCCTTCCTGCATCACCTCTGTTTCTGCCATAATTCGGGTTACCTGAAGAATAGGTGTGGTCAGCTATGGGGACTATCCTGCTGGGGGGTTGGTGTCAGGAGAGCACAGAGATGAGCAGAGAAGGTCAGGTGGGTATCTGTGTTAATTGCTCTCTAGTATTCCATAGTTTCTGTGGAATTATTGGTTAGCTGGTTTGTGTGCATCTGTCTAGATGTACAATATGTACATTGTGTACATATGTCCCTGTCATGCATATGACAATTGTTTGAGAGAGGACACATTGGGATTTCTTCTTCCATAACTCTGCACCTTGTTTTACTGAGGTAGAGTCTGTCATTGAATTAGTAGTTCACTGATTTTGATAGATTACCTGGGCCTCTGCATGCACAAACATGCATGCACACCCATCCATCCCTGCACACATGTGCCTACATGCATGCACACCACACAAAAATACATGAAAACAAACAAACAAACAAACAATCATTCCCTTACATGATGAGCTTGGGAGTCCCAACATGTTTGCATGGAGATGAGGGCATAGGGAAAGCCTGGGTGGGGGTCCCAGATGCCTCACGTGGCTTACCTCTTCTAGCAGTTCCATGATGGACCCTATTTTATTTGTGAACACATCTGTCAGGGTCTGGATGAAGCCAGAACCTTTCTCGTCATGTCTATAGGAGAGGTACCCTGGGAAGATCAGAAAATCGAGTTTGGAGAACTCTCCAGAGAATAGAAGGGACCATGGGAGAGAGTCCCTTCCTGAAGGAGAAGATGGGGCATCGGGGGTGCTGGTTCAGGGGAAGGAGTCTAGGCCACTATGAAACAGCTGAGAGCTCATACCCTCTACCGTGGAATAGATGTGGAGGGTGTCCGTGTAGGTTGGGATAGTTTGGGGGTTGTCCTTTGTGATCGCAGCAACCCGATCTTCACCTATTTCTTCACCGAGGTCTCTGTGCTCTGAAACAAGGGGGAGGGAAAGAAAAAGTCAAGAAGGAAAATGGAACAAGAAGGTTGTAGAGCAGTCTGGTGGCCTGCCAGGTTTGGGGGAGCTCTGACTCTTGGATTTGCCTGGATGGAAAAACAGACTCCAGGCTGGAGAGGTTTAAGAGACTTTACTGTTTTTGTAGAAGACCAACAGTCAGTTCTCAGGGCCCGTGTAGGTCCTGCACTTCCAGATCCAGGGAGCAGCACTCTTTTCTGGCCTCCTTAGTTACCTGCAGTCACACATGTACATACACACAGGGACACACACATACACATAACTAAAAATAAAACAAATCTTAAAAATAGATGGATCAGGTGGGCATGACGATGTGTGTCTATAATCCCATTACTTGGGAAACCGAGGCAGGAAGATCATAGACTTGAGGCCAGCCTGGACAGCAGAATGAGCTCCAGTTCAGCCTGGAGTACACAATGAGATGCTGTCTTAATAACCTTCCCCTAAAGACCAAGGATGAGTTGTCCCAGGCCTCACCTCCTCTGCAGGCCTGAATGATGTATACTTTTGGCTTGCCTCTCAGGGCCTTGCAGTTCTTGTTGTTCAAGACCTCAAAAAGATCCTCCAGCCTGACCATCTTCTCATCTTCTCCCTCGAGGACGCCTTCCAAGCCGTGCGCCATAAGCACCACGAAGGCGCAGCTGACAGGCTCTTCCCAGTTCTCTATGGTCTGCTTAAATTTGTCCAACTCGTCCAGGAATTGCTTGGAGGAAGAGGATGAAGCAGGATCAGATAGGTGCCCAAAGCCCATCCTTCTGGTCCAGCCCTTCCCGCCTGAGCTGGCTGCTCAATACCTGGGCAGTAGGATCCCTCTTCATGGTACTTTCAAATCTCAGGTAACGAAACATGTGTTCCAGGGCATCCATGTCTGCCTCAGAACCCTCTCGGGCTTTGGTGACACATAGTGTCAGGGCCAGACGGGCACCCGACATATCATATCTTTCCTAGGGAAGAGAGACAGAGAGACAGAGGAAGAAGAAAACACACCACAATGAAACCTGGGGTTAGGGCTGGCAGCCAAAACCCAAGGTGCCCGTGGCATCAAACTTCACTCCAACATTTGTCTTTATGGTACTGGAAATAGAACCCAAGGCCCTGCCTGTTTTTAGACCAGTATTTGATCACTGAATCAGATCCCTAGACCCACCCTGACACTCAAATGAAAAACAAGAAAGTATGGCTGAATCTACCCAAGCATGGGAAACACACTGCTGGCTCCATGCCCATTTCACTGTAATTGACTTAGTATGCTGTAATTGACTTAGTGGATACACAAATAAAAGAAAACATGAAGAGTGGAGGGGACATGTTGGGGACAGCATAATGAGAGTTGGGGAGGATTGGGGTGATATGACCATGTTTCATTATATACATGTATGAAATCCTCAAATAATAAAAATGGAAGCAACGACAACAAACCAAATAAATGTTTGACGTAAGCGTTTCCCATGTATTGCATGGGTAACTTAGACAGCAAAACCATGTTACTAATGGGAAATTCTAATTCACCTACTTAGCCTCTCTATTTTTATTCCCTGTCTTGAGTCTAACTTCGGTTTTCAGATATAAATGAGTGTGTCCGTGTGGGTGTGGGTCGGGTCACGTCTGGTGGAACTGACTCTCTCTGGTCCTTCCAGAGAGAGCTCAGTGGAGGTCGGGGTGATCTGACGGTGACATCTGTCACCTCCATCGACCTCCATGGCTGATTAGGTTGATCTGGCTCCTCACCAGATGCCTCCTTCCTCCATCACTACTCCATGAGTGTCCTTCCTAAAGCTGTGTGCTTAGCTAGAGAGGAAGATGTTCCCTGATTGACACTTGGGTCAAAAGTGTATGACTAGCTGTGCTTCCCGGACAGAACCTCCAAGCAAGGCGCCAGGAGGTTCAGGGTGCTCTGCAGAGTTCTTTATTTCTTGCTTGCTTGCAGAGGTCTCAGAGCGTCTAAAGCCATGACTGAGATCCTCTCTTATACCATCTGAGACAGAATGGTATTGGGGGTCAAAAAGTCTTCTTTGAAGAAAAGCAGTTGACTGAGAACCAAAGCGCTAAGGGCTTAGCTCTTGGAGACAGATGTGCTGGGTTCCTTTTCTCTTTTTCCAGTTTGTGTTTCATTTCTGGGTCTGTTGTTTTTTAATTCTTTCTGTCTCTCCTGCAACATTACATTATTCATCCCTTTCCCACATGGCCGCGCATCTGTACCCTCACTCACCTCCTGCAAGGGCTGAGGACCGCTCATCTCTCTTTGATTCGGAGTCTGGCTTTCAGCACCCTTGCCTTTCCCTGGAGGTCAAGAGAAAATAGGTAGCAAGTCACCAAAGGAAGCCTGAGGGGATCAGGTGGCAGATTAATTTGTCTATCTTAGGCTTTTGAGACCGAAGAGCAAAGTTACTATATCAGACCTAGGCAAGAACTGATAGTCTTTGGAGTATGTTTTGTTTTTTTTTTTTTCTAGAGTTACAATATGGTGGACTCTTTCATTCATGTTATTCTAAGAGGCCCATCAAAAATGGCATCTCTTGATGGGTGTGGGTGCACATCTTTAATCTTAGCACTCATTAGGCAGAGGCAGGCAGGTCTCTGTAAGTTCCAGGCCAGGCTGGCCTACAGAGTGAATTCCAAGACAGCCAGGGCTACAAAGAAAAACCTTGTCTCAAAAAAGAAACAAAACAAACAAACAAACAAACAAACAAACCAAAACAAAGAAAAAGAAAGTAATAATAAAAATGGCATCTCTTGAGCCTCTCTTCCCTTCTCCAGAACATACACCTGTCTGTGTTGGGGCAGACTCCTCTTCCCCAGGACTGATGATCATAGCAAAGAACTCACATACTCCTCTAGTATACCAAGGGATGTCTGGCTGAAGAGGGTTCAGGGTTAGCTTAAACAGCGAATTTCATCAAAGTGAGGGTTGGCTTGATCCTGTCTCTCATCTGAAGAGGTCAATTTATTTCTTTCTCTCTGCCTTGAGACTGAGCATCTGACAAGAGTCTTCATCCTTTCCTCTGAGCCCTGTCTTGAACTCTGGCTAAACTGAAGAATGTCTGACACACCCTGGGCCTTTCCTCACACTTCTGCGTAAGACTGGCATGCTTCTTATGATTGGGGTGACACAGTGTCTGCCATGCCTTCTCTCCATTGCACATTTTTCTACCCACCTACCAATCCGTATGTCCATCTGCCATCCAGCATATGTCTACCCATCTACTTAATTATCCATCCTTCTTTTACTGAGCATTTACTCATCCATTTATCTATTTATCCATCCACCCATCCATCCATCCATCCACCCTTCCACCGATCCATCCATCCATCCATCCATCCATCCATCCATCCATCCTTCCGTCCATCTATCCACCCACCTACCCACCCATGCACTTTTATATCCAACTGTCCAACTGGGCATTCATCCCTTCAGTTACTCTCCTTTCACACATCAAACAACCATCCATCCATTCATCCATACACCAACCATCAATCTATAAGCTCTCCTTATGTCTATTCATCTAGTTACTTGCATCTAACTCTCCACTCATCCACTGACCAAGCCTGTTTCCTGAGGGTTTATTATGTATTAATCATTGGAAAGACATTATATCAGATAGACAGATAGACCTTCTCCTTGCCCTTTATGTAGTTTTATGACAAGCATAAACATCAACTCTCCTACGAACACACACACACACACACACACACACACACACACACACACACACACGCCATGAGGAAAGAGGAGCTAAATGCTGTGACAAAGGAGGTGATGGGAACCCAGCTCTGAATGCAGACACAGCAGACACCACCCTGACCCCTGTCACCCCCAAGAACTTAAGCATAGTACGCTCTCTCTGAGATTCAGTTTTTGCATCTGGAAAGGCAGGACCCTGGGAATAGCAGTAAAGTCAAGGTAAGGCGAGGCAGGCGTTGTGATTCTTACTGGCCTCCTGGGTGTGCCGCTCCTGTTTCTGCCTGTTTATACTTGCGTTACGGCAGTGTGTGTCTATCACTTTAATCATCTGTATGATTACATGCTTATAAAGATGATTGTAAGACAGATGTATTGACAAATAAAAATATCTTTACAACAAACATCTCATACTTTATAGATGATGCAAAAATTAGATTCCTTAGACTAGAACAAAGAAAAATGACACAAAGAGGAAGCAGCAGTGTTTTCTGATTCTTACTCTTGTGGTTGAACTGGTAGATGAGCTCACTTTTTATGACCAAATCCTGCTGCCCTTATCTGTGTCTCCATCAGGGCCAACAGTGTGGGTGGAGAGGCAGTGTTGAAGAGAATGTGTTGAGCAAACAAATAACAAATAAATGAACAAATGAGAAAAGGCCTGTGTAGACAGATGGAAGAACGGATGGAAATTTCTTCAGTTCTGTCAGAACAGAAAAGGGGAAGGAGGAAGCAGGGAAGGAGGGAAAGAAGAGAGAGGAAGAGAGGGGGAAAAAGAGACAGAGAGAGAGGGAGAGGGAGAGAGAGGGAGGGAGGGAGGGAGAGAGAGAGAGAGCGAGCGAGAGAGCAAGCAGTTGGCAAATCCCTCACCAGCTGCAGAAGCAGGTGCTCCTTAGGGTCAGGCCCTGGCTTGTTTCTTTCCAAGCTGCTGATACAGTGCTGTCACCCCAGAGGAGTTAGATTCACGTGCTGCTCTCTGAGAAGGGGTGGACACAGAGAGATCTTCTTACGTTTCTCCCGAGAGCTTGTCTGTGACTGGGACAGTGTAAACTCTGTCCCTTTATTGCCAGCAAGTTTTCTGTCACTCAAGAAACCTCGTGACAAGAGGTGACGAGAGGGCCACACCCTTGACAGCAGGTGTGGAAATTGAGTCAAACACCCATGGTATTTGAAAGAATGGTGGTGTGGCTCAGCTGACACCCCCTACCTAGCCTAGGTACCTGAGCATCCAAATGAAACAAACCACAGGCCCCCCACTCACCACCCCGGGGACCAGCTCTACTCATTATTAACTTGTGGTCTCCACCATTAAGCCGTTTCATTCATTCCACCCCGTCTCTATCAGGCAGATAACAGCAGGTTCACTTTCTCATCATCTCCCGTCCTCAGGAGCCCTCTGAAGACATTAGCATCGTTCCTCCCATCTTATGGTTGAGGCTCACGGCTGTGCAAATAGGTGGCAACTCAAAGACACTCACCCTGTCCTTGGCATTCAAACCCAGGACTGTCTAGCCCAGCTGTGTCCACGATGCTTCATCAGCTCTTTCTCTTCCTATTATTCTTCCTCCTTAGTTCTTTCCTAGTATCTTGCTTTCTCATTGTTTTTATAGTGACAGCTTTCACGAGGTAAACCCACACACCACCCAGCTCTTCCACTTGACATGTCTAGTTCACCGGCTTTAGTGTCTTTACATAGCGGTGCCAAGGACTCTTCGCCACAGTCCTCTCTAGAACGTGCTCATTGCCTTACAAAGACAGGGTCTCTCATTGAACCTGGCACCGGATCTGCAGCCAGAAATTCCCAGAAGTTCCTCCTGTCTCTGTCTCTAACAGTGCTAGGGTTATGGGCCTGGGCATGTGGCCCCACCTGGCTTTCTACATGGGTTCTAGGGATTTGAATGTCGATCCTCATACTTGTGTATGGAAAGCTCTCATTCACTAAGGCATCTCCCCAGCCGTGCATTCTTTAAAAGTATTTTTTTATTACATATATTCTTACTAGTTACCACACCCTGTGCAGAGCGTGTATGTGGAGCTCAGAGGACGACTTGCGGGAATTGGTTCCCTCTTTCTACCTTGTGGTCCAAGCAATCAAGTGCAGGTCATCAGGCTTGCAAAGTTCCTTCACCCACTGAGCCGTCTTGCCCACCCGCCCTTTTTTAATTTTTGTAAATGTGGCACTTGTGTGTGAGTGCATGCATATGTGTGGGAACCAGAGGCCAGTGCTGGACATCTTCCTCTATTGCTCCCTCCCTTAGCTTTTGAGACCTGGTTTCTCACTGAACTTCTGTCTCACTGATCCGGCCAGCCAGACTGACCAGCAAGCCCCTGATACCCACCAGTCTTCACCTCCCTGTGGCTGGGATTATAAATGCATGCAGCTGTGCTCAGCTTTCAGGTCGGGGGCTGGGAGTCCGACTCAGTTTCTCATGACCGAGCCATCTCTCCAGTCCTCCTTTTCTGGATATTTCACATTGTGGATACATTCTTCTGTGTCTGGCCTCAAAGGCCACTTGAAATATTTTGTCTTCATTGTCCTGCCATGAAAATTTCAGCTGATTATCTATCTATCTATCTATCTATCTATCTATCTATCTATCTATCATCTACCTAATCAATCTATGTACATACCCATCTATCACCTAGCAATCAATCTATCATTCTGTTTTACAAACTAGCTATCTGTCTATCTAAATCTATCATACCTATCTATTTCTGTGGTCTACATCTCTACACATATTTATAGCTGTACATACTGAGTATGTATCCGTGTACCTGAACACTAGACAGATAAAGAGTAAGAGTATTTTTCTCTCCTTCTCAAACCAGTTTTGTGCTGCTGCTGGTGGTGTTGCTCCCTGAGGATGGATGCTGTCTGTGTCCTGCCTAGGACACAGAGCAGGCTTTTCTTACCGAGCTCTCCCTGAGGGGTATTTGGGTCGTTCCTACTGCAGCTTTTCAGATTATGAGCCAGGGAGTAGCGCACACACAGCACACATCTTTTGGTGAATGCACACATGCCTCTCTTCTGGGTATCCCTTTGTGAGGAGCCGCTGACAGAGAGGCCACTGCTTCAAGCCCCACGGCAGCAGTGCAGAAGCTGCCCCGGTTTCCCTCCCTTTCTACCTTGGTCATTTCAGTGCATGAGCAGCCTCCGAGCTCTGTAAGCTGCACAGTGTTTCGCTGGGTGGGTGTCAGGGATTTGGTGAGTCATCCCTCTGCTGGTGGACAGTTCAGGTGTTTCTCGTTTCTCTCCATGGCAAGTAAATGCTGCCATGGGCAACTTCCCACAAGCCACTTCAAACACAAGATGGACTCTTTCTTTTCTTTCTTCTTCACATTTATTTATTTGCACTTACGTAAGGGACACTTTTGGGAGTCAGTTCTCTCCTTCTATCATGCGGGTCCTAGGACTCTGCTCAGGCTGTCAGGCCTCTACATGCTGGGCCATCTCACCTGCCCCTAAGTCTTTTCTGAGGGAAAGGTTCCTAGAAGTAGACTTATTGGTTCTGAGATAGTTGAACACTTTGACATATTTTGCCTGTCACCCTTTCATC